CCTCTTTTCCTCCCCTTTTTTGATATAATTTACCTGGCTCATCTCTATTGCTGGGAACAGAAACCAGATACAAATGTCAGCACAATGCAGCTGTGTTTTTAAACCAAAGTAATTCAGCAGCAAGTGGAAGAGTGAATCCACACAAAGGCAAAAGGCATGGTGAGGAGACAGCTAAGCTTTTCTGGCAAGAGTCAGTGCCCCAAAGGTGGGGATGCAAACACTCCTCTGGATGTTTGATACTTGGAGGGCACAATTATCTGAAGCTACACACCCCACCTGAGCTGGTCTCTGGCTCCTGCACATTTTTAAAGGTTAAAAGACCTAAGCAGGTGCCTTAAACTAAGTAGAAATTTCATACTGGGAGGTATTTTCTGAGGAAAGAAAGAAAACTGTTGAAAATGGCAATCTCTATAGAAAGTGACACTGAGAAAAGGCCAGTGGTCTTTTACTATCAGGCAGAGAGACATGCAGATGTCTTCAACAGGAACAAGCTCTGCCTGGATAAAAGCCAAGCTTACTACAAGAAGAACATTTTCTGGAAACCCTATCTTTAATTAATGAAATCTGCCCCACCAATAGTTCTGATGCCAGAGCTCCCCTACTTCCTTGCTTTTGCTCTGGGCTCTCAGGTGCTAGGCCAGAAACACCCATCGCATCATCAGCTTGCCACATGCATCAGGCATCACACCAGTCTTCATTGTTTTTTGCTTAAACACTTTAGACAGATTCTACCTGGGGCCACCTGAAAGCTTCAGACTCATTGAGTTCTCTTCCAAGGACAGGCTGATTAAACCTTGTTACACCAAGACTGTGATTACTGGCAGCTGCTGATTCATTCCACTTTGTGATGTATAGTGTTGGTCAAGGCTCTGAAAAGCCTAAATCATTCAGATCCCTGCATGATATTAAGTCATGTTCTTCTACATTTTGCTGTGGCAACTGCAGCTTCTAGAGATGACTGTCAGTCCTAAAAATTGTACCCATAAAGACCAGGGACAGTTGTCAGCAAGTTGCTTCCAGGGAATCACCAAAACAACTGTTCATGCACTGCCCATCCTTGTAGGATGTCTGAAAACCTGTGAATTATTTGTGAATATATTAAATCCTAGTGCCAAGACACTAAAATGATGGACTGGATAACACCCATACCAATGTGGAAAACACATATACCAATGCATTAAATCCTCCTGAAGCCTAACTACAGTCAGAACTACACTGACATAACAATTTCTCCCTGTGCTGCTTTGTCTTTCCCAGGATTTCTCAACAGCACTTTCCTGCTCAGGCTGTCAGTAGTCTCACTGACTGCATGGCAGCATGGTGTGTGCAAAGTCACAGTGCTGCATCTCACCCGTCTGGGTACCTGGAAAACAACCAAGACAGACATGTGTGTTCAGCTGTCAGTTAGAAGTATCACAGCAACTCCACTGATGTCTGGGCAGCATAATGTAATCAGCACATTGGTATTTTTTATCCCAGTAAACTCTACCTGCCCCCTATGCCAAGAGCAGCCAGTATGATAAATGCTACTAGGGAAGTGATGAAAAGCATGAAACAAACCTTAAAGACATAGAAAATTTCATGTCGCAAAATGACAAAGCTCTTTGGCTTCTTGTGCTTGTCTTTTCCTGAGAAAGGCAGGATAACCACTTTTGGGTTGCCTGCCCAGGATTATGGCAAAGAGAATCTCCAGAGGCTTGTGACAGTCATCCTGCAGATTTTCTCTGTATCTCAGCACAGCTGTTCCCATCCTGACCTACTAGCCCAATTTCTTGCTGAGTTGTTACCAAGAATCCTACTGCAGGTAGGAGGACATGTGGAGGAGTCCAGCTCATGGCACACACTGCACTTTCACCCCTTCCTCTCTGTGTATCCACATGACTGCACGCAGCTAGCTCAGGTCCCACTAATGGAGAAAATGGCATTGGTCCTGGACAAGCCAAGAGACCCACACCCCTTTCCTTTGAACAGTATGCAGTCAAGGTATTTCCAGCTTTTTTCCATATTTAGCACAATCTCCAAGACAGAGGAAAGTGTCTGTACTATATCAGGTAGGGACACTCCTGATCCATTCTGTTGCTGTTAAACCGTCAGTTGGCTCCAGTTCCTTACTTTTTATTCTCAGCATAGCTCAAGGCTTCACTTTTCAGTTCTTGAAGTTTGTTCAGCTGTTTTTCATCCACAGTCTCCTCCTCTTCTGACAAGCAGCCATGTATCTTTCCTTTCTTATTGAGAAAAACCCTGTACTTTCCTCTCTTCCTTACTATCTTTTACTATCCTTAGCAGTGATGACTTACAGGCAGGAAAATGATTCAAAGCTTCAATGTTTATAAAGTCAGAGACAGTCTGAACTTTTGAGATGATTTGAAGGAAAATCAGATTTCATATTCAACAGATCGGGGAGGAATAACCCTTATCCATTTTTTGCTGCGTCAGAACCAACTGCATGTTTGTCCCCACCACACAAAAAAGCAGGTGATGGATAGCACTATAACTTGTGATCAGTGTCAGCCCAATGGATTCCCAGGACAGTGCAATAGTTCTGCAAGAGTATTTTGAGGACAGCCTCATTAATTAATTAATTAATTAAGCCTTATTAATTTGTACGAGCAGAAATGGAAGTGACATGGAATGGGAATGATAGCTATTTTTCTTAATTCAGAGATGAAGTATACTAAAGAACATATAGGAAGATGAGCTCACTTCACTACATCAGTAAATGTGTTTTCAAATGTTTTATGAAGGTGTGCAAGCACTCAGGAGCCACTGTGCACACAGCAGCAACTCATACGTATTTCAAGATGTTCTGTAAGCTTTGCTACCTTGTCTGAGATGAATGGAAGGGAGCCTGAGACTGATTTCTCCCCCAAAAGGATGCCAGGTCTAAAAGGTGGAGCTGGGAGAAGCTGAAGCCGTTTGGCACACAGGTATGTGCATGTTCTGTGCAAGGGCAGGAGAATTCAGTCCTCTGATGGGAGCTGCTAGACCGTGGCACCTTATCTTGCTGAAGCAGGTGTCCCAGAAATGCCACCTAGCCAGCTGAATGATTGATTCCTGGTGCGTCTCTTCCCTCCTGTCTGCCCACTGCTGAGCAGCTCCCTGTTTGAGCCTGGGATGGCAAGGAATGGGAGAAACTGCTTGAGAACTGTTTAATAACAGTGATGGTAACCTTTGACCTTAATGAATAGCAGCGCTTTTGACCTTTCATTTGTTAAATAATGCAACCACTTACTTCCCGATCCTTATCAGTGCTTAGTAATTGGGGTCAAGACAAAGGGGAGCAGAGTTACCCACCAGACTTTACCAAACCAGGAAGAATTTCCTTAAGCTATAGATATTCTTTTTGATAATCTTCAGTCAGGGCAGGCAAAGACTAGAGACTAGGTGGCTTAGAAGATCCACAACAGGCTAAAGAGCCTCTCAGCTGTTAGCATCTGGTTTGAATCCAGCTGTGGTTGACAAGGGCAGAAACTCATTATCATCTTGGGTTGCCTCTCTGACTCATGTGAAATGAGTTTGGCCTGCAGTTCTGCTGTTTACTGGTCAATCATAGCCCAAACATAAAATACTAACAGACTTATAGAGAAATCAGTGATTAAATGGGTCTACAAAGCATGAAAATTCCTATTCCATTGAGCAAATCAGGCACAGGTAGGTGGCAGCGTGGACAAAAAGTCTGTGGTCACTCTAGTGTGTCCTGCCTCATTTGTGTCAGAGAAGGTGGTTAATCTTCAGGAATCTGAGTTGCCTTTTGTACAGGGTAAGTAAAGCTAATGGGTCAGCTTGTGTGCCGTACAGCCCATTAAACATCTCACTTGACAAAAAATCAGGTGACAAGTGTTACAGGCAGCAGTCCCAGGATCAGTGTTTTCCTTAGAAGTGAACAGGAAACGGATGAAAAAGAAAGGATTTATGACTTTACAATAGATTTAAATGTAAGTGCATGCACATATTTATTTATACAATGCACACATATAAAAGCTTAAATTTCCTGAAGACGTCAAAGAGAAATTCTACTTGTCTAAACAGCTGCACAATCTCATTACTTATTTATTGTATTTTGTGTTAAGCCAGACGGCAAGATTTTTAAGTGCAGGAGCTGTTTCCTGGATGTCTGTGATTCAGCAAAATGAGCTGCCAAAGAGCAATCCAAACGCTGTAATTTATAAATAAACCATTTATTTACAGAGGTACATGAGCTAGATAAGATCAGAGAATCATGGAATGTTAAGGGATTGGAATGGACCTTCTAATCATCTAATCCCAGCACCCCCTGCCATGGGCAGGGGCACCTCCCCCTAGACCACCTTGCTCAAGGCCTTACCCAACCTCACTTTGAACACTGCCAGGGTTGGGGCCTCCACAACCTCCCTGGCAATCTGTTCCACTGTCTTACCATGCTTACAGTAAAGGTTTTCTTCCTAATACCTAACCTACATTTCCTTGCTTTCAGTTTGTACCCATCACTCCTTGTCCTATCGCTACTGTGTCCCTCCCTGGCTTCCCTGTCGGTAGTGGAAGGCTGCTATGAGGTTTCCAAAAACCTCCAGCCTGAAGAGTACCAACTTTCTCAGCCTGTCTTCATCGGGGACATGCTTCAGTCCCCTTTATCAATTTCATGGCCCTCCTCAGGACCTGTAAGAGTGAACACTGTAAGCGGTGAGCTTCAGAAGGGTTGTTTTTTTTTTCCCTGCTGTCCCTGTAAGAAATAAAGCAAATGGAGCCCTTTGTGGTATCCCGGTGAAGGAGCAATGCAATTGTTTGCCCGCCTGGGTTTTGGACTCGACTTTGGATTTAGGCCTCCTGAAACGGAGGAACACAGCGCAGGAGCACACCCATAACCGCATCCTTATTGGACTTATTGCTCGTCAGCGTCTGTGTCCCGGGCGAGGTGAGCTGAGCCCGGCGCTGTGGCCTCGTCCCTCGCGGCCGCGGCGGAAGCGCGGGGTGACCCTGGCGGGGCAGGCCGCGGTCTCCCGGCAACGGGGACGCGGGGCGCCATGGAGGCGCTGTCGCTGCCCGCGGCGCTCTCGCTGGTGGCCGGCGGCGGCGCGGGGCTCAGCCCGGAGCGGCGGGCGGCACTGGGC